AATAATGACAAATGTAAAAAAAAAAAAAAAAGAATGTAAATGAGAAAAAATCAAATATCTTTAAAAAATATTTATTATTGAATTATCTGCTTTTGGGGGCCTGGAGGTGGGATAGTGGTTAAGGTGCTGAACTCCCACATGGCCAACAGAGGTTTGAGCCCCGGACCTGTGGCTTGAAACACGCCGGGCATGTAGGGGTGATTTCTCACTTTCCCTTGTCTCTGTTTGTCTCTCCAGTGAGCACACATGCATAATTGCAAAAATCTCTCTCTTAAAAAAAAAAATTATCTGCTTTTGATAAGGGCATTTCTCTGCTCAACAAATGCTCACGTGTGAGGCAGCTGGTTCACTGGGGGCTGCTGACCACTTAGGGTATCAGAATATCCTAAGTCATGATCAGCCCTTTTAATTTTATTTATTTTTTTAAAGAATTATTTTAACATTTATTTAAATTTGACCAGAGAGGGACAGAGAGAGGGGGTTAGGGGAGAGTGCGAAAGCAAGGGACTAGAACTTTAGTCAACCATTTGGGAGTCCAGCACCCTTAACCACTATGCCACCTGCTGGCCCCAAGCCCTTTTTATGTTTTAGAGATTTTTGCCATAGGGCGTGTGTGCTCTCCAGGGAGATAGAAAGCGAGAAATCACAACCCTGGATTTTTGCCATAGGGCGTGTGCGCTCTCCAGGGAGACAGAAAACGAGAAATCACCACCCTGGGAAGATGGCCATGCTGCAATCCCTTCTCTTCTAGGGATTTTGGGCATGTACAGATGCACTCAGTGTGAGTTTCAAGACACTGGGTCCAGGACTCGAACCACAGTTGGCTATGTGGCAATCCAGTGCCTTAACCACTATGCCATCTACTAGCCCCCATCAGCCCTTTTTATGGTTTTGTTTTAAAAATCACCAAGGTAAAAATGATAGTGTCAGAACTGAACAGCAAATGTCACCTGCCCTCCTTTTCTGTTCACTCTCCATTGCCTCCCCCAGGATGGGCCTCAGGTACTTCTGGTTTGTCTTCTGTTGGTCTGACATTACTACCTCCATGAACACTATCCCCCTCAAAGAAAAGAAAAAGCGAGTAACCGATAGCCAAATCCTAGGTTAACAGCAGATTTCTAAACAGAATAGGAACAAGAGCGAATCGATACAAAGATGAAGTGCTAACAGTAAGAAAGACCCTGCTCGAATCCCCCAGCATTGCGGCAAAATCCCCGCCTAACCGTCTGCAGGCCCTGATCAATGCCCCTAACTCAATAGATTATATTCCTGACAAAAGTCCAATACAACAAAGGGACTGGAGTTCATAATGGCCTCAAACTAGCGCCACTGGGGGCGAGGATGTAATCTCCTGCTGCATAGAGAAGACGAATGGTCAGTTATCTGTGGACAGGCCTATCGCAGACTCTCACGGAGTCCGGGAGCCCTCGCCCATAGGAGGCGCCCCAGAAACGTTTGTGGAATCAGGAAGCAAGTTGTTGAACTGCTCTAGGAAGATGGCCCTTGTTAAATGGTGCATTTGCTCTAGAGAATGTGGGAACCCTCTATGTCCCGGTATGGAATGGTTTCTGAGTTGAGGGATGGAGGGTGTGCTACCATTCATGTGGGAAGAAAAGTCAAACTATTGGATTGCCGGGAAAGGCATGATGCACAGAAAAACAGAAAAATACATGACTTTCCCCGTGACCTAATACTTACGTATATATTCTCCAATGCAGGAAATCTTCCAGAGCACAAAATAAATTAATGAGAGTGGCAGCCTCTGGGGACAGGAACTAGGGAACCGGGAAATGGGGACGAGGAGAGGAATTACTTTACATCGGATCTTCTGAATCATGGCATATATTATCCAGTGCCCTTAACCACCAAGCCACCTGCCAGCCCCCATTTGTTATTATTATTTTTTTTTTACTTTGACCAGAGAGAGACAGAGAGAGAGAGAAAGGAAGAAAGCAAGCCGCTAGGTCCGGGACTCGAACCAGTTAGCCATGTGGGACTCCGGCGCCCTTAACCACCACACCTGACCTGCCGGCCGCAGGCAGATGACTTTTATCGATGCAGGAAGACAACTGGATTCCAACCTTTTCTTCAGAACCTCTTTATTCATCATGTAACCACCAATAGTGGTCAGGTTGAATCAAAACAAGGTACAACAGTCCTAAAAGACCTGCCTCATTATAGCACAACAGGGTGACACCAGACACAGGGGCAGCGTTTAGCCTTAGTTCTTTCCAGGGAAGACCAGAGTCCTGTGGTTACACACCAATGCCTTATTAGGGGTTAGCAGCACACGGCCCCACCTGGTAGGGAGTACTGGGGACCTTGGGAGCTCCTGAGTGTCTTTCATAGTCAGCCTCTTCCTCAGACATAAAGGAACCTTGTTTGTGTGGGGGGGATCAGCATGTTATTTTGACCTTGGATGGGGAGGTGAGGATTTCCACCCTCTGCCTCTGTCCCCATCTGAGATGCAAGTGCCAGTCAGAGTTCTAAAACCCTGGTGAGACAGGTGGGTCCCTTAACAAAGGTTACCTGGCCACTGTGTAGGGCTCTTCAAGTACTTAATCCTGTTGTTTTTCTGAAACCTTTTGCACCTGGGCACCCGAACCAAGCAGGGCCAAGTGGAGCCCCCATAGGCCTGTGGGTGAGGCTCTGCTCAGACCAGTCCCTGGGGAAGGGAGGAGGGTGAGGAAAGGGGCAGGAGGAGATGCTGGGCAGGAATCAGCTGAAACACTCCATGCTGGTTCTGACTCGCTCCATCTCGTGCAGGAAGCTGTAGAACTGAGGCAAGGTTAATTCTGGGAAGAGAAAATTCAGCTTCAGGTAGATGTTTCCAACTCCACAGAATCATCAAGAAAATTCACTCAACCCCCCAGAGGTTTTATTTTCTTTTTTGGCTCAGTACATCTATGCAGCTCTTTTTTTTTTTTTTTCCAATTTAACTTTAATTGATTAATTAATTACTATTTTTTTATTTGACCAGAGAGGGACAGAGAGAAAGCTGCAGGTCTAGGACTCGAACTGCGGTCGGCCACATGGGAGTCCAGCACTCTTAACCACCATGCCATCTGCTGGCCCTCTATGCAGATCTTAGTAGGTAATTGAACATAATGAAGAACCAGAGCCTTGAACAGTTTCTAACACCATAAACGAAAGGGCGGAGGGGATGGTTGTTAAACGCCACAGCATGTCACTCAGGAGGCACAGAGGGCTTCTACGGCAAGAGTTTCTTGTAGGGCCGGCAGGTGGTGCAGTGGTTCAGGCATTGGACTCCCATATGGCTGACCATGGTTTGAGTCCCAGACCTGGCAGCTTGCTTTCTCACTTTCCCTCTCTCTGCCCCTGCTCAAATTAAAAAGTAATAATAACATATAAAATTAAATAATTATGTTTTAAAAAGTTTCTTGTTCTCCAGTCTTCTTTAACCATAGCCATTCCTTTCCCCACTTCCCTTTCCTAATAAGGTTGTAAGCTGTAAGTTCCCCTACTGCTGGGGACCATTAACACTCCTCCCATCCTTTCAGCTGGTTATGACATTTCCTTGGAAGGGATGATCTGTGGCAGGCTCCACTAGTCCACGGACAGAAGAGAACACAGACAAGTGAAAAGGAAGCAGGAATTCAGACTCACCCATATACAGATTTTCAGTTTGGTTTCCTTTCTTAATCACCAGCTTTAACTGATTGAAAAATAATAAAATAGTGACAATGAGGAAAAGACATTCTTAAAACCCTTTCAGTTTCATTTTTTTTTTTAAAAAGAATGATTTATTGGGGCCAGCAGGTGGCATGGTGGTTAAGGCGCTGGACATTCCCACACGGCTGACCATGGTTTGAGTCCCAGACCTGGTGGCTTTCTTTCTCTCTCTCTGTCTCTCTCTGGTCAAATTAAAATAAATGAATGAATAAATAAAATGAAAATAATTTTTTTTAAAAAAAGAATGATTTATTTAACTTTATTTATTTTTTAAATTTGACCAGAGAGAGACAGCATGAGAGAGAGGACACATGAGAAAACAAGCCACCACATCTAGGGCTCGAACCACGGTTGGTCATGTGGGAGTCCAGTACCCTTATAATCACCATGCCGCCTGCCAGCCCCAAAGCTTCCAGCTCTAACTTGAGTTACACAGGAACAATCTAGATCATCCACCAACAGACATTCAGACAAGTCTCATGATTACAGGATCCATTTATCTGACAGTAGACCAGTTAGTAACCACATCTTCGGTTGACCACATTGCTCTGAGACATACAAAGTGCTGTAGTGAAACATCCATTTAAGTAGATACTGAAGAGACCAGCAGATAGTGTAATGGTTATGTTGCTGGACTCCCATATGGCCAAATATGGTTCAAGTCCAGACCTGGAGGCTTGAAACAAACTCACACTGGGTGCGTGTACGTGTGTGCCCAAAATCCCAAGAGGAGAATGGAGAAGGGACTGTAGCATGACCAACCCCCTTGGGAGGTAATGTCTTGCTTTCTCTCTTTCTCTCTGTCACTCAGTGAGTACACGCACCCTATAGCAAAAAATCTCTAAAAAATAAATAAATAAATAAATTTTAAAAATACGTACTAGGGGCTGGCCAGTGGCATAGTGGTTAAAGGCGGTGTACTCCCACGTGGCCTCCCACATGACTGACCGTGGTTTGAGTCCTGACCTGGTGGCTTGTTTTCTCTTTCTCTGGTCAAAATGAATGATAATAAATAAATAATTCTTTAACTATTTTTTTTAGATCTATTTTCCAATTTGACCAGAGAGGAACAGAGTAAGAGAGAGAGAAGGTGTGTGTGAAAGAAAGCTGCCAGGTCCAGGACACAAACCACGGTTGGCCATGTGGGAGTCTAGCGCTCTTACCCCCACCCAAAAAAAAAAAAATTTTAAAAAAAAAAAAAAAAAAAAAAAAAAAGATACTCCAAGAAATCCAATGTAGATCACATCACTTTTTTTAGGTTTCTGCTATAGGACATGTGTGCTCACTTGCTAGAGAGAGAGAAGTGAGAAATCAGCCCCCCATCCAGAGGTTATGGCCACACTTTAAGCCCTCTCCTCCATTATTCTCTTGAGATTTTGGGCATGCACGCACAGTTGCCTGGTAAGATTTTCAAGGCACTGGGTCCAGACTCGAATTGCAGTCAGCCATGTGGAAATCCAGTGCCTTGGGGGACTCTGAATCTAGGCAACTGCGACTGACTCCCCAGCTCCTGCAGCTGCTCCTGGCAGGAGGGAGAGTGCCACGCATGTTCCTGAGAGGTTCCCTGTCACTGAGGACCACAGCGCCCTGAGCCCCTCTTCAAGTCCCACCTAGGAGGAGGAAGCTGCCCAACAGGAGGGAGAGGATGTGGACAAGCTCTCCCTGCGGACAGGCTGGGTCTCAGGGCTGCGGGAGTCAACAGGGTTCCACTTGTGTAGAGATCTAGGAATATGTTAGCCAAGGTAAATGGAGCAAAGTTAAATTAGTCCATGGAGAAAACCTGCATATCTAAAACCTTCAGTCTTCTGGGACAACTGAATTCAGCTTTGAGGATAAATACTCCTTTGTTTTGGAAAATCTGTAAATGAAAGATATTTTGTATCTGCAGTTGCAATCTCTGCTGCTCCTGGATCCGTTGTTTCCTCTGTCTCAGTCAATGGTGGCTTGCAGTCAGTCGTACCTCTGACCTGGGGCGAACTAAGCTCCATGTGTGAGACCCAGGTTGTTCTGAGATCAGTGACCAGAGGCTGGCTCAAGGCTCATTTTCTAGACAGCACGGCTACGTTGTCGGTAGCTGCCTTCCAGGAAGTCTGCCCTTTCTGGATGTTTGCTACCAGTCCTGGCCCAGGAGAGGCAAGGGGATAGGCCTTCAGAAGAAGACACCTTCGTGGCTCCTGAGAACTAGTGATTTCAGGGAAAAAGAGAAATGAAGATTTTCCACGGATAATTCAGCCTCCAGCCCACAAAGTCGAGTGGTAGGAAGCCTTTCAAGCCTTCTGTCTCTGTTTCTGTCTCTCTCTACCTCTTTCTCTGCTTCCCATTTTTTGGTAATTTTTCCTTTTAAAAAATTTTTAAGGCTTTTCTGTCTTTTTTCTGGCATTCAAGATGTCGAAGCGAGGACGTGGTGGGTCCTCTGGGGCAAAGTTCTGGATTTCCCTGGGTCTTCCAGTAGGTGCTGTGATCAACTGTGCTGACAATACAGGAGCCAAAAATCTATATATCATCTCTGTGAAGGGGATCAAGGGACGGCTGAACAGGCTTCCTCCTGCTGGCGTGGGTGACATGGTGATGGCCACGGTCAAGAAAGGCAAACCAGAGCTCAGGAAGAAAGTGCATCCAGCAGTGGTAATTTGATAACGAAAGTCATAGCGGAGAAAAGATGGCGTATTTATTTATTTTGAAGATAATGTAGGGGTCATAGTAAACAATACAGGTGAAATGAAAGGTTCTGCCATCACGGGACCAGTGGCAAAGGAGTGTGCAGACTTGTGGCCCAGGATTGCATCTAATGCTGGCAGCACCGCATGATTCTCCAGTGTGTTTGTAAAAAACAAATAAATAACCCAAAACATTAAAAACTATTTGCCCCTCCCCCCGAAAAAAATGCTTTTTAAGGTAGGGACCAGCAGTTAGTGTAATGGCTGTCGCCGAACTCCTATGTAGTCGACTGCAGTTCAAGTCCCGAACCCAGTGGCTTAAATTCACCCCAGGCACATGTGCATGTGTACCCAAGATCCTGAGAGGAGAATGGAGGAAAAGGGATGTGGCGTGGGCATCACCCCTGGGGGGGTGATTTCTCGCTTTCTGTCTCTCTGTCTCTCTGTGTCTTTCTGGAGAGGGCAGGCGCCCTATAGCAAAGACCTCTCCAAAAAAAAAATTTTTTTTAAGGTAAAGTCTCTTCTAGGCTTTCAGCCCCTCCTTTCCCTTTATCTTGTTAATAATCCCCTCTCCCCCTCCCAATCCAGGAGAGGCAAGAGGACAGGCCTTTAGAAGAAGAGACACATTCATGGCTCCAGAGAACTAGTGATCTCACGCCATGCGCTTGCGCACCACATGTTTTTCTAATTTTTGCCTTTTTTTAAAAAATCATTTTTTTAGTTTAAAAAATTTTCTTTTCTTCTTTTTCTGTTTTTTGGTTGTTGTTGTTTCTCTCTGTTTCCTTTTCTTTTATCTCATCTCTCTGCTCTTAGACTCCATTCACTGTGTTTCTAGACAGATCTAAGGGAAGTATAGCCAAATATCCAAATACTATTAGTGCTAACATATTCCTCAATATCTACTGAATCTGCTGTGCAAAGGGATCAAAACGGATCGGAAAAGAGATCCCAGATCACCTCATTCTGCATGCTCCTGAATGCTCTGATTGAACTTCAAGTTTGGGAAGAAACACACCATCCATCAGATGACTAGAAATCACTGCAGGGCCACAAGAAAAATGGGAAAGCAAGAAAATACCTCTCCTCCAAGGGAAAGAATAGCTCCTCTTCATCCAATGGAAATCATGGAAATGTCTGATAAAGATTTTAGAACATTCACAATGGTGAAGCTAACAGAGATGGAAGAGAAGAGAGACAATGAACTGCTGAAAAGAAAGGAGAAAGGAGCTGATGAGTTTCAGGAGGTGAGGAAATTCTTGCAAGATATAAAAGAGGAACTACACACTTTAAAAAAGAATAAAAGGGACCTGTTAGAGATGAAGGCTATAATACAGGAAGTAAAAATCTCCCTTGAAAGTATTAAAAGCAGACTAGATCATACAGAAAATAGAATCTCAGATGTAGAAGAAAAAATTGCTGGCCTAGAAAAATCCCCCACGAAGACTGAGAAAATGGCCCCCCAAAATGAGAATAATATAAGAGAAATACTAGATACCATCAAACGTCCAAACATCTGGATAATTGGTATCCCAGAAGATGAAGAGACTCATAAGGATATTGATAATCTATTCCATGAAATCCTACAAGAAAACTTTCCAAACCTAGAGAGGCACTCAAAGATCCAGTCCCAAGAAATACAAAGGACCCCAAATAGAATCAACGCAAGAAGATTTTCTCCAAGATACATTATAGCCAGACTGATCAAAACCACAGACTAAGACAAGATACTAAGATTGGCAAGAAACGGCAAGTTACCTACAAAGGATATCCCATCAGGCTAACAGTAGCCCTCTCATCAGAAGCAATGCAAGCAAGGAAAGAATGGGAAAATATATTCAAAGTGTTAAGGGAAAAGCAATTTCATCCAAGAATACTATACCCAGCAAGATTATCCTTCATATGGGAAGAAAAGACAAGAACATTCTCAGTTAAACAAAACCTAAAAGAATTTACCACCACCAGACCAGATCTCTAAGAAGTTCTCAAGGGAGTGCTATATCAGGAAAATTAAATACAGACAAACAGAAATAAGAGTTCAAAAACTGAGAAAATGGCCAACTTAGACATAGGGACAAGTCTAGAGTTGAATATTATATCTTAGAATTCTATCAGGAAGATCGAACCACAACAGATAGATTAAGTACATGAGAATGAACTGGTGAAATAGCAATCTGTGACTTTTGACTAAAATACTGCTGCTTTTCTTTTAGGCTTTGTTGTCCAGTTTTAAGGGTTTTTGTCCTGTCTTGAGGTGTCGATAGGTTCATGTACCTACTATTTGAACAGAATCCTTACCTTTTTCCTGGCTTTAAGCTTTAAGCAAATTTCCTTACCATTTCGAAACTGCTTTTCTTGAAATTACCAGCTTAACTTGCTATTAAAAGTAGTTAGAGGGGGGACCAGCAGGTGGCATGGTGGTTAAGGTGCTGGACACTCCCACATGGCCGACCAGGGTTCGAGTCCTGAATCTGGTGGCTTGCTTTCTTGCTTCCACTCTCTCTCACTCTCAACCTATGTCTCTCTCTGGTCAAATTAAAAAATAAATGAATGAATAAAAGTAGTTAGAGGGAACCAGCAGTTAGCATAATGGCTATGTCGCTGGACTCCCATGTAGTCGACTGTGGTTTGCGTCCCGGATCCGGTGGCTTAAAACTCACGCCGGACGCGTGTGCGTGCGTGCCCAAGATCCCGAGAGGAGAACCCAGGGGGTGATTTCTCGCTTTCTGTCTCTATGTCTCTCTGTCTGTCTGGCAAGCACACACGCCCTATAGCGAAAATCTCTCCCCCCCAAAAAAAGTTAGATTATTAAAAAAATTGTGTGATCAATAAAATGTTGGGGGAAAAGGAATGGAAGACAACTGTAGACACTAGATACAGTGTGAGAAGAGGGTGGAAAAGGGCAGAGGGTCAGACACAGGGGTAAATTTATGGATGGGAAACCAAATTTTATATGTTGTGACGATGCTTAGGGGATGAATGTAAATTAATTAATTAAAAAAAAATGTTTCAGGAGAAAAAAACCACAAAAACTGTATTTCTTGAAATTAAAAAAAAAAAGCATTAAAAATACCTATTTGATGGGGATCAGCAGGTGGCATGGTGATTAAGGCGCTGGACACTCCCAAATGGCCAACCAGAGTTCAAGTCCTGAATCTGGTAGCTTGCTTTCTCACTTCCTCTCTCTC